CAGCACCCCCTCGGCCGCAGCGGGCCGCCCGCCGCTCCCGCCGCAGCAGTCGCCGCTCGGCGGCGGCGTCTTTGGCGCGTGCGGCGCCGGCGGCGTCGGGGCGCTGCAGGGGCTGTTCAGCGCGCTCGGCGGCGTGGGCGGGATCGGGGGCGCCGGCGCCCACGTGCCCCGCCCCTCGAGCCAGCAGCTCGCGGCCGCGGGCGCCCTGCAGCAGCCGCAGCACGAGCGCGCGGCGGCGACGGCGGCGACGGCGGCAGCAGCACTCGGCGCGGGCGCGGCGGCGCGGCCAGTGAGCCAAGGGGCCGGGGTTGCGGGCGCGTGGCGCTCGCAGGTCCCTTCGCCGCCAGGTTGGGGGAAGGCGTGGCCTTGGACATGAGAAGTGTGTGCGTGCATGCTTGCATGCATGCGTGCGTGCGTGCGTGTGAGGGGGTGGGGCGGGTTGCGGGAACGGATTCCAGGCACAGTGCCGCCCGCCGCTCGTAACAACGCACTCATCTGCCCTTGCATACAGGCTTGAGGGCCTCAACACTTGCCTGCTGTGTGTGGCCACAATCCCCATTGCAAAGTGCTACAGCGATCGCTGCGTTCTGATACATCAAACCGCTCACGGTCTCCTCGTCTTGTGCCGCCCCATGCCCCACGCCTCCTGCAGGCGCCCTTGCCGGCGTCCGGCCTCAAACATCGTCCAGCGTGGTGCGCGTGCTGGCGCCAAACGGGCAGCCCAGGAAGGTGCCCGCGTCCATGCTGCAGGCGGCCGCCGACATCAGCGCCGGCGCCGGCGCTGGCGCCAGCGGCGCCCCGGCCGCGCACGGGCTGGGCGCGCCGGGAGCGCGGCGCGGCGTCCGCTGAACAGCCGCTCAATGCTGCGGCTATGGGGCGCTGACGTGTCGCACTTCACTGATGGGAGGCGCGCTGCTGACCCCGTGGGCGGGTGGCTGCACCCTTCCCTGGTGCCGCCTGATCAGGCGCCCCACAGGACCCTCGGCCGCCCCCACCACGGGCCGCTTGACGCAACCCCTGCCGGCGGGCTGTATAGAGGGTCCGCTCCACGCCGGTCTCTGCTTCATTCCTCCGCCACAACCCTTTCTTATATCTGAGCATCTTGAGGCGCTGTGAGACTGCGCTTCCTTTTCGGTGGGCCTGTGCCCACTCAGCAGGGGCCTGCGCCCCAACCCTCGCGCGGCCCCACACCGCATCATTCCTTACCTCTTCACCCCGAAAATCGCACCCCACCGGCGGCGATGAGAGACACCGTCCCAGCCAGCAGCGTGGCGGATGAAACCGCCCAATTGAGAGGGCCAACCACACCATCCCGGCAGGGAGCTGAAGGCGCGCTGTTTCATGGCGAGGGCCCGTGCATCTGCAAATGCACGGACTGCGCCTACGCAATACTGCACAGACCGGGCCCATGTGCTGCCCGCGGCGCGCTGCGAGACCGCCCGCCCCCACTTCCGCGGCGACGAACTGCGCGGACTGCGCCGGCCCGCCATGGCGCTGCTCTTCGAACATCATGTACAGGGGCGAAGGCGCGGATGCAAACGCGTAAAGCTGTGCATACGGTAGTGCAGCAGGCATGTGGCGGCTTCCACCGGGCCGCCCTATACACCTCCAGTCATTCCTCCCTCACCCCCTGGCACCTCAGCTGAGCGACGGCATGGCATACGCGCGTGCCCGCGCAATTTGTTAGAGCCGCGGCTGCCAAAAAGACTCAGCCTTGGGACTCGATTCCTTATTGCGACTGTGAACGGTGTGACCATCTCTTGCGCCATGCTCGCCCGATGGACCCGCAGCCGCCCGTGCAGCTGCTTGTACCTGCCATTCTCTGTCTATCATGGGGTGTGTCTTGTAACTATCTGACCCGTTGCTGGCGTGTGGCACTAGCGCAAGGCTGTGAGGCCAAGGCCCAACTACACTCATCAGCGCGGTAGTGTGCAGGCCCACTCAGCCGTGGTGCTGGCGCCGACCACGCCCTGCCCAGGCAGGTGGCTCGCCCTCACCTTCAAAGCGATGTGCCATGATGGCGAGGGTGAAGGCCTGGAATGAGTGGCCACAGCCTTGGCGCAGCGTGGTATCGTTACTGAGCAGTGGCATGGCTTGGAGCTTACTCGCCGCGCAGTCCACAGCAGCTCTGCGCTTACAGCGGGAAAAGTGCGAATCGCACCTGTTGTCCCGAGAAGAGAGTAGGGGTAATACCGGTGTATATCCGAGGTGTGCTGTCATTCGGTGCATGCCAAGCTGATCTCGGGGCCCACGATCGGCACCTGCCGCAGCGATGCTCCTTCGCGGTCGCATCATGGCGCTTGGGGCTCATGGATACTCCACATACAGGGCACGCAGTCTCATGAGGGGCTTAGCACCTGCTGGCGGCCAAAGCAGCAATGGCGCACCCGTGGCTGGTCGCAACAGCACCAGCAGCAGCAGCACCAGCACCAGCAGCAGCAGCAGTAGTGGCGGCAGCAGCACCACCCCCACGCCGGGCGATGGCGGCGTCGGCGACAAAACCGACAGTGCGGCAACGCCGCGGTCGCCGCTGGCGGTAGAGCCCGCGCTTGCCTCGTTCGCAGCGGCGATTGGAGAGCGACGGTTCACGTGTACCCAATGCGGTGGGTTGCTAGCTTCGCGCCTTGCTTCGTTGTAAGCCTTGCCGTGGGGTGTCGCCACCCTTGCCTGTTGCTGTTGTCTGCCTCTCTTCCCATCCTGGCGTTTGCTGTTGGCAGCAACGTGCGTGTTAAGTCTGTGCCTTGTATTCGCGACGCCCAAGCGGATTGCAGCCGCAGCCGCCCCGACAGTCCGTGGCCTCATCCCCTTTTCTTATCCCGCAGGCAAATGCTGCACAGGCAAGTGTTGGCCTGAGCCAGCGGGAAGGGGGCGCTCAGCGGTCTCCATTCCTTCTCGCATGTGTTGTGCCAACTTCTGCACTTGGACCAAGGCAGACGCAGCGCAGCCAGCCCGACGCACGTCCAAAGAACGCTGCGCTCGCGCCACCCTGCCCCACGCGCAGGCAGCGGCAGCGTATGGGTCAGCGAACGCGAAGCGCTGCGAATTGCTGATCACCTGGGGATCAGTCAGCAGCAGTTTGAAAGAGCATACACGTTTGACTACTCACGAGTGCCAGGCTGGCGGCTGCTGAGGGATGACCCCAAAAGCGGGGAGGTGGGCCGCGCTTGACATGACGCAGAATAATGTGCGCATTTGCTGTGTCCAGGGTAGCTTTGTCGCCCTGTTGAGGCACTCAGGGACACCTCACGGTCACATGCCCCAGTGGCTGACGCAGCATGTACCTGCGCCGCTGCAGCAGCAGCTGCCGCCGCGGCCAGGGGGGTCTCATAGCGTCCCTGCCGTCTCGTTCTAATCTCTGCACCCCCAGGCCCGCCACTGCATCTTCCTGAGCGCGGGCAACACCTGCAGCATCCACCCTGTGCGGCCGGTCCAGTGCAGCACATACCGTGGGTGCTCTTCCGCGCTGACACACACGCAAAATACACACACACACACACAAACACAAACACACACACACACGCATGCGCCCCCAACTCGCGGCCGCGTTCTGGGCTTATATGTGCCTGCTTGTCCGCATGAGAGCAAGGCATCTGCTTGCGCCACACCCCCCCCCCCTTGGCCGGTTCTCCCCGCCCCTGCGCACGCGGCCAGGAGGGGCGTTGCATGTGGCAGCTGCTTCTCAGCTTCCATCGGCTGCGCACGAGAAGCTCCCCACCGAGGGCTGTGCAGCACTTGCTGATCCGCCGCTCCATTCCTTCTTGACTTTTGCAGCGTGGTGGCCGGAACTGATGGACCCTGAAAAGTGGGATCTGGAAAAGCGGGAGATCTGTGAGGGGTGAGTTGTTCTGCGCGTGCCTGCCTCGGCATCACCATCTTTCGCGCTGGCTCAACAGCCCAAAGCATGTGGCTTACGCACAAATGCGCTGGAGCCCGATATGGAGCCTCCGCTTCGCCAGCTTGACTTTTTGTCGCACATGCTGAGCTGTCGTTTGACCGCCACTGCCTCCCAGGTTTGACCATCCAGACGCGCCGCCCACGGACTTGGCGAAAGCTGCCGCGCAGCTGCGCATCGCGACGGCCCACGACATCCAGCGAAAGCTGGCCTTTCCGGCCCTAAAGCCAGGCGGCACGAAGAAGAGGAAAAAGGACAAACCGGCGCAGTGAAGCGACGAACAAGCATAAGCATGGGCCTACGTTTTCAACGATCTGTCACTGCCTTTTCCCCTGCTCCCTTGCTGTTGTACAGCTGCAGCACACACTCATGCGGCACACAGTCATGGCCACCGCTGCAAATCAAATCGATACCAGAAGCCCGAGAGAGGCGCTTTTCTGCTCGTTACTTTGGGGGTGGGCTAGGCGGCTCGGCCCCCCGCTGCTGCGCCTGCTGCTTGTCCGCCGCCACCGCCGCTGCCGCCGCAGACGCCTCGCCCTCTTGTGACCCCTGCTCGCCTTCAGGGGCGCCCAGCTTTTCGCTGGTCCGTTCCACGTCCATTTGCAGGGCGTCAAACAGGGGAGCATGGTAGTCCTTGTGCTGCATCATGCAACTCAATAGTGACTTGAACTGCCGAGAGGGGGTTTTCAACCCAACGACAGAACGAAAGTGGGCACAATTGCATGGGATAGGCATGATAAGGGTGCATGGGTAAGCGTGGGTGGGCTGCAAATGGTGGCGTCTGCGGGCTGCTTGATGATCACACTCATTGTAGCCTCATTGTAGCAGCATACAGCAGCAACTGGCACCCACCATCAACAGCAGCAGCAGTCGCAAACACACGCGAAAAAAAAGTCCACAGGAGGCCACGCATACGGGCGAGTCGCAAAGTAAGCATGGCCCATGAGTCAGGGTGCGCGAACGCACCTGATCCTGACAGCTCTCCACCCAGTCCTCGCTTGTCCGCTTGGCGTCCCGCTTGCACAGCCGCCATGCCACATGCTGCTCCTCGCATGGCCCTTCCTCAATGTACTTGCAGATGGGGCACGAGTCAGGGCCATCCTCGTCGCCGTCCTGCTGCGTGTGCTGCACCGACACTGCGGCCCCTGGCGCATCAATGCCACTGCTCGAGCTGCCGCTGCTATTGCCGTCGCGGCCATCGTCGTTTGACGATACCGGTACTTGCGTGCCACCATCCGTGACTGTTTGTTCATGTTCATCGGCGTTTCTTTGCGGGGACATGCTCGCGACGCACCAAGAGCGATCTGGAATGGAGTTTCCTGTGTGAATGTAGGGCGCAATTCAAAGCTTGATATGAGAAATAAATGAATCGTGGGTCGCGCCTTCGTAGCCATCACACTCTTCACGAATCTGTTTGTAGCGTCACCGGCGCTCACCCCACAACCGTTTCAGGCACTTCAGCATAGAGAATCGGTGCGTCGATGCTCACCCACCCATCACCACGGCGGTTCATGAGATCTTATGATACGAGGTATGTCAGGTATCATAAGGTAGGCCCACGCGAGGGACCCAAGAGTTGCAAGCCAGGCCTGCAGCGCAATGCAAAGCTGAGAATGCAGGGCAGGCAGGGGTTACCATGTGCGCGTGGCTGATTCTGGTGGTGTAGTTTGCTGCGTAGCTTGCGACCGACTGCAGCATCACGCAGGCACGCCTGACAACTCTCTTTTACTTGACGTCACTGACGCGCGCATCGATGCCACCAGCATGACGGGGTTTGCAAAGCCTGGGAGGCCACCTGAACCGCACCATCATCAGCAAGACGCGTGACGTACGGGGCTCTGCCGCACTCTGCGCTTGCAATATGAGCCTGCGCGCCCCCAGCTGCCCGCCCTCGGCCTGCACTCCGAAAGCCCCAACTGGCAAGATCTGGTACCATCAGGTCGTCTAAATTGACCCAGGCAGGCCCGAAGGTGCGGCTTTGTTTACAGCTCATCCATTCAAAATCAAATCCAGCGAGGGCAGGGCATCCATGAGATTGATGTGCAGCATCCAGATGCAGCAGGGGCAGGGCATCCAGAACATTGGCATTACTGGGCCAGGCTTGCGCCCAAGGGATCGCACACCCGGGGCCAACAGAGCCGCAAGTAGCAAAATCAAGGGGGGGGGCACAAAGGCAGTGGGCGGCGCAGCGCCCCGCAGAAAGGGCGCAGCTGGGACATGGCCGCTACATAGGCGAGGGTGTCAGTACGGGTGGTTCGTTTTGCACGGCACAAAAGCTCGTACAAGGCGGCGAGGGTATGGGGGGCAGGGAGCGCTCTGGCACATGGGGAAATCGTGCAGCCAGGCTGCCACTCAACGTGGCATTAGGTGGCGACGGCACCGCCAAGCGGCCGGCCAACAGGGCCGTCGATGTGTGGTGTACGAAGGGCAGCAGTAAATCTGTGCATTGCCCAATGTGTGGATGGTGTGCCGCGGCAGGCTTGGTTTGATACAATGAACCCTGTGCCCTGCTCTGCTTGCACGTGCACCAAACGCCCTGTCCCAAGCCCTGAACACAGGAACAGTCCTGCGCCCCGCGCCGCGGCAGCAAATAGGCCGCTGTTGCTGCTCCGAGGAGGACAGCGACTGCAAGATCGCAGCGGTTGTCTACGCTATGGGATGTGGGGTGGTGTTGTCAAGGCCGCACAAACCATTGCCAATGACGAATCCCCATTGATGTGTTGCCCTCCGCCCATGAAGGACTCCCGGCCCTTCCAACCCAATTCCAGGGTGATTGACGGCAGAATAGAAACAGAAATCCGCGCGCCTGGGCGTGCATGCAGGGGTACAGGCAAGGGTGGCTGCGTTTCAAAAAGTGCCTCGTCGGCCGGGGCGCGGGCCCACTCGCCTGCCCGACATGCAAACGATGGTGGTGGTACAAGTGTAGAGCGACATACAGTCAAAGTCAAGTACAGCGGGCGTCGCCGCGCGGCTCAGCACGACGAGGGGCGCGGTGAGGCGCGCCCTCAGGCCAGCGCTAGTGCAGGCCTGCGGCGGCGGCGGATTTCAAGCGCGCCCCAGAGGCGGCCGCCGGCGGGCATGCAAGGGCATGCCTCAACACGGCATCTGGGGCCTGGCCGCGAGGCCTCCACCCAGCGATGCGCCGCAGGCCAGCCAGCCGCTGACCGGCGCTGCGCCGGCTGTGCTGGGGCCCAGGGATCGCGCCAGCAGCAGCGGCAGAAATGCAGGCCCGAGCGGAGGCGGGCCGCCGGCGATACAGTCGGCGTCAAGGGTACCGGCCATCACAGTGGACGGCCCTGGGAGCGCTCGCGCGGCCGCCGCGCGGCGCCGGGGCGAGTTCTCGCCGGGGACCGCGGGGCCATGCGGCGCGCGGGCAGCGGCGTTTGCCGCGGGCGCGTACGGTGCTGCGCGCTCGCCGGTGCCGGCGTCGGCAGCCAGCGCCGCTTCCACGTGCTCAGGCGGCACCCGCGCAGGCGACTCAGCTGCCGCTGCGGGTTTGTGGAGCTGTGGCAGCCCCCTTTCGACATCATGCCCTTGTAGTGACAGCGGGGCTGCCCCAGCTATCGGCTGCTGCGGCTGCTGCTGCTGCTGCTGCTGCTGCTGCCGCTCGGCCCGGGGCTCAGGCGGCGCCGCCTGCTGCGGCGTGCCCTGCCGCTGCTCCTCCTCCCCACTGCAGCCTGCATGGCCGCCCTCGTTAAGGTCCGCGCCGCTGCAGGCCGTGGCGGCGCGCTGGTGGCGGGTGTATATGCCATGCAAGCCAAGCACCTGCGGTGTCGGCCAGCGAGGCGTCAGGGACCAATTCAGCAAAAAGCAGTCGCTGCTCCGCGCGCAAAAAGGGTGGACAAACTCTGGGAGCCAGGGTGTTCGGGGGCTAAGGAAGTCAAAGGTGGAGCTCGGCGGTGCGGGTTGCAACAGCAGACCACCGGCGGGGACGGTCGCGCCCGGCGGCCCGCTCGCGCCGCGCTCACCAGCTCCCCGAGCGGCACGACGCCGCCCGCGCCGCCGCCGGGCGCGGCATACTTCTGGGGCCGCCGGGTCCAGCCGCCGGGGGCCCGGTGGGGGTACTTCCGGGCGTAGGTCCTGGCGGCCTCCTCGGGCAGCAAGCTGAGGCGCCTCTTCGTCTCCTCGCTGACGTCATCCCACGTCAGCCGCGGGTCCAGGTCGAAGGACCAGGCGCCGGTGGCGGGGTGCCGGCGGCCGACGAACAGCACCAGCTTCTTGGCAGTGCGCGGCTGCGGGGCGGTTTGCATGGGCGCATGTGTGTAAGCGCATGCGCATGCGTGTGTGAGCCGAGTGCATGCTGGTGATTGCATGCTGGACACGCAGCGCAGGTGTGGCAGACAGGCGGGGCAACCGCCGCCTTGGAGGGGCCCCTTCCACACCCTCGTAGTAATACACCCCCACTTGGCGGGCTTGCGAAGGCGCCACTGCGGCCATGCGCCTCACATGGTGCAGGTTCATGCGGATCCACGTGGTCAGCGCCGCCCAATCCTTGTCGCGCCGCTGCTGGCTCTCATGGCCGCCGCCGTCGCCGCTGCTGACCTGGCGGCAGCAGGGGGAGGACGACGCCTCTTCGCCGCTGCTGACCCCGCCGCCGACGCCTTCGTTGACGGGGGCGCGCGTGCAGCTGACGCGCTGTGGCACGGCGTCGTGGCCGCCGGGGGCCTTCGGCTGTGCCTTGTGCTGCGGGGTTTGGGGGATGAGCGGTTGGAGTGATGGGACCGTCGCGTGCGCGCCTCAAGTGCTTGGGATGCAGCTCCAGGCAATGGCGCTGTGTCAGACAACCAGGGCGTGTCATGACAGATCCAGATTGGCAATTATGCTGGTGGTCGCGAACTCGCCGCACCTGATTGTTGTGGCGCGGCCGGCGGTGTTGTGGGTGCTGGTGTGGAGGCAATGTGTGCTTGGCCGCCGCTGCGGTAACAACGTCATCAACAGCAACGTAGTCAGTGGAGCGCACATTAGTGCCGCTCGCGTGCCTGCGCTTGCGTGTCAGGCTGCCGCTGTTGGCCCCTCCATCGCTTGCCGCCAGGTGCAGCAGCACCTCAGCCGCGCTGTCCGCCTCCTGTAGAATAGAAGGACATCGCATATAACGTCACATACACAGCTTTCGGGATCCCGCAAGCCTCGGGCTGGCGTTGGGTTACCGGGCTGGCAGCCTTGATCGCAACGGCGACGACCCCTGCATAGGACACCTGGGCATGGTCCTACCTCATCGGAGCATGCGGATCCGGCTATTGGGCTCATAAGGGCCTCTTCTAGCCCCTCAACGGTCGGGGGAGCACCCCTTTTGTTTCTGAAGTTCGATGACATTCACAACCAAAGCGAGGGTGCCTCTCGACGACGCGGCACGTGGGCATATGCTATATGACACTGAGTCATTGAGGACCCGCCATTGTGTGGAGAAACATCAGCGCTTCGCAAAAGGGGCCTTGGCGACATGGGTGTTGATGAGTCGAGTCGCCCCGACGGCGCGCTTGATTTGCCAGCCGGCAGTCGGCCCACCCCAGGTGCAGCTGACCATGACCGTAGTGCACAATGGCAAGCTTAACATTCCCGTAAGGCCTCCAGTGTGGCAGGTCATCCCATGCACACGGCGGCAGTGCTCAGCACTTTTCCCGCTAACTGGCTCTGAAGGCGCCGTGTACGGCTGCCATTGGGATGCAGAGACTTGCGTGCTGGTTGGGTGCTGCAGCAGGCTCATACACGGTAACCCGTCCATATTGCGCTCATCGTCGTGAGGTGCAGCAGCGATGCGGTCAAGCCAATATCACCCGACAGCGACAGGGCAGCTGCGCATGTGGGCTGCCTCGCCAACATGTTATTGTGGCTGCCAGCATTGTTACGGTGTCTTTCAATGACGACAGGCATGTTGTTTGTTCGTGTGGTTTCAATTGTTCTTCCGGGACGCGAGTGTTACACACTCGCCATAGTGTGAGCCTCGACGCCATACAACGGCAACCCATGATGACGTCAGACAAGGGTCGGCTTGTCAAACACAACGGCAGCCACCCAAGCGCTGTCAACATTACGATAAAATGGGGTATCACATCGCGCATGGCAAGCCAATGTATATACGCACATGACACTTGCATGCAGCCACCCACGGCCTTTTCTTCACCCCGGACACAGCGCGTAGCCCTGCCTGCCAGGCACATGCCCTACCCGTATCGCCCCATGGAAGTGTGCTGTGGCCCCACAACCCCGCCGCGAGTGCACCCCGCGGACGGATGCATCACGTGGCGCGCCAGTGGTTCTCGTCGCATGTGGTGTATGCATGTGCCTCGTTCTGCAGGAATTGTAGGGCCGCCGTCACCTGCGGCCGGCTAAAGCTGGGGCCAAGGCGTGCGCAGATCTGTGGGGGTATAAGGGGGAGGGAAGCAGAGGGGGTTTGGGCGCACGAGCGCAAGTACGGCAAAGGCGGATGTGCTGCATGAACAGCCAGCCAGCCGCTCACGCCATGGTCTATTTTTGGCACAACGTGCCTGAGGCCTGCACGCGCGCTTACAACCAGGCGCTTCAGGCATCCCAGCAGGCTTGACAGGTCAACCCGGGCCCGCCCCTTGCACATCCACCCCATGCCCCGCAGTGCCCACACAAACAAGTACACAAGTCACAACACGGCCAGAACTAACGCACGTCGTTGACATGCACGCCCTGGTCCCCTGCAGCCGGGCCAGATATGATCTGGAGGACGGCGCTGGCGCAGGGGTTGAGGCCGCCAGGGCCAGCCGCGCCGGCGCCGCCACCGCCGAAGCCGCCCTGTTGCTTTTGTTGCTGCTGCGGCTGCAGCTGCGGCTGCTGTTGCTGCTGCCAGCCGCCTGAGGCAGGGGTTGCAAATTAAAGGGTCGGGTAAGAAGCCAAGCAGGCATCCCAAAAGCAAACTGACGCGTGGGCCCAGCGGGTCTGGGCTTTCCCCTCAGCGACCAATGAATGCTGGGGTGCCGACGGGCAAGGCTTCAGCAACAACACTCAAGCCATGGCATCACCTGCTGCCGGCCCTCCATAGCCGCCGCCGCCCGCGAAGCCCCCCTGCTGCTGCGGCGCTCCAGCCTGGGATGAAGGGGTGCGCGAGCCTGGATCGTTAGGACGAAGCGCCTCAATTCAAGCATCAGTGAGCAAGCAGCGATAATCCATTGATAATCACAATCAAGACTGCTCCGCGTCGTAGAAACCTTGAGGGAAGCTTTTGACATACCCAGACGCCTCCAGGCGCACCAGCACCGCACAAGCTCGCCCGCGCCGCCCCCGCGCCCAGCCGACCCGTCTCACCGCTCAGTCCCCCGCGCCGGTGCCGCCGCCCTTCAGCAGGTGCAGGTGCTGGAATATGGCCTGAAGGTAGTGATACGTCACCTGAGGGAGGCGGCGCAAGAGAGCCGGCCCCGCGTTGCTTCGCAGGCGGGCAGAGCCTGCCCATGCGAGCAGAGGGGGCCGCGAGCAGCCGCCCCCCAAACGTGACGGCGTCAAACAGCTGCGGCTCATGCCCGCAGGGCACGCATTTCAAAAAGAACGCGGCCCCGGGCTCTATGCACAAGGTGTTATTGCCCAGAATTCCAGGCTTGGGAGCAGCAACCGACCCAAGCATGAAAGTCCCATGAGTATGACCAACCCCGTGAGTTTGAGCAACCCTGTAAGGTGCAGCAGCCCCGCGAGATTGGTTGGGCCCCCAGGAAACTGCCTGGCCCCACCTCATTGAAGTCATGTATGGGGCGTATTGAGAACGCCTGGACGCTCCGGCTGCCGTTGAACGTCCGCACATGGCCGATCGCGCGCACGTACGTGCCTGGCCGCCACTCCGCCAGCTTCTGGGCGCACGCCTGCGGCTGCGGGGCCGCGGCCGAGCGCGCCACGGCGGCGCAGTTCACGGTCTAGCCTCTTCGCAGCGGCACCTATGGGTCACGCAGGGCGCGAGCGAGCTAGACGACTTTGCAACTCAGGCGGGGCCAATGCGCTGCGCCGGGGCAGCCATACAAGCGGATCCTGCCGCTCACGTCCTCGACGGCGTCGCCGAAAAACTGGAGGTCCGTGGCCCCGGTGCCGTCGCTGACCCGCAGGTCCAGGCTGCCGCCGCGCTCTGCGATGCTGAGCACCTTTCCGACGACCGTCACCTGTGGTGGTTATGGACAGGGGCGCGCGGCGGCGCGGTTTGCGCGGCCGGGCGCACGGGCTTCGGGCCGCCGTGCGAATGCGAGCGGCGGGGCGCGGGCGCGGGCTGCACGGTGCTGGGGAAGGCGCGTCCGCTGGCGGCTGCTCGTGGCCAGGAATATGATGCTGCTGATGGTACTGCTGCACTGAATCCAAGCAGCTCACGTTTGAGAGATCGAAGCCATCGACGATCAGGTCTTGTTGGTCTGAGGGGATGTTCGCGGCGGCCTGCCAGCACAGCATGCGGATTGGCGCGTTGGGGGTGGGTAAGGGTGTCGAGCCCAGCTGGGAGCATGCGGTTGGGGGTTGCGAGGCAAACGGGGGCGACGCGGAGGGCGGGCGTGGAGCGAGCCGCCTGGCGCGGCCGGCTGCGGGGCGCTGCTTTTGCCGCTCATGCGCATTTGAGGTGCGGGGCCTCGCCTGTACCAGCTGCCGTATTGTGACAGCACGCAGCGTCTGCTCCTTGTTTGGGCGTCCCTATGACCGTGGTGAGTTCAGGAGACGCGAAAGAGACTGAAGTGGACGAACATGGCGCCTGCGGCGGCGTCACGCCTGTGCAAGGGGGGGTCGCCAGGCGTGGCGCACGGGGCTCACCCTGCCGCCGCTACCGCCGCCGCCGCCCTGTGCCGGGTCCTGTTGCTGAGTCGGCACGAAGCCGCCCCCACCGAACTGGTCGAAGCCCCCGCCTCCGTACATTGCGCCTGATCGAGATGATCTGCTCTGCGGTGTACGGGAAGCTATTGGGTAGATATCCTCAATAGAATTCTGAATTGAATGGAGAGTCGTATGGAGAGTCCATAGGTCGTTCGAACTCTCCGCGTCGTGGCCCGTGCTGTGCCTGCCGCGTGACCTCATCTCAAGGCAGACTTCGCCACTCAATGACATGTGCCGCTCATCTCGTGCTACAAGCATTTTGATACAGCGTGGTGCTTCCTTACAGGCATCCAGTGCCACACATCTCTTGGCTACTGTTGCGGTACCGAATTACAGCTGATCCAGTGTAGATGTGGTAAACGTAGCGGCTTTTGGAACGGCCTCGATCACAATTACCCTGGTTGGGCCCGTTGGGCCAAGCGATTTGGTGGGCGGGTGATGGTCAACTGTGTTGTGCCGCCACTGCACCGTCCATCACAGTGGCGAAGCATGGGCTGCGTTGTCCGCTGTGAGCTCCCCCTCCCTGATAACATGGTGTCGCTTGAGCGCCTGGGTAGCTTGGAGCAAACAACACAACCGGTGACAGGTTTGGGTCACGCATTGGTGCACCGGCACAACACCGGCAAACTGGTCACTGATGCGTTGAAACAACTGGGTCTCCTGGCAGAAAGATTGGTTACACAATCTAAGGGCTCGCCACTGCGCATGCGGGAGGAAAACAGGAATGACTCATTGTGGAACTCCTATCCATCTGCGTCTAGCACACCAGGTTGCAGCATGACCACATGAGCCTGGCTGAGCAAGGCCAGCCATGCCGATGACGCCAGCGGCCGAGGATGACTGTGCGGCGAGAAAGCCGGCTCTGGAGGATGATGGGTGCACTGGCACGTGAACCGCGTACAGAGGAACTCTCTGCTCAAAGCCCACCGTGGTCAGGGAACGACGTGGCGAAGCTGGCGGAAAGGTGTCGGGCACCCGTGAGGCTGCCGAGCTGGGGAAAATGCAGGTTGGCTCGCCGGCAGCGAGGGGCGGCCGGCTGGAAGGCGGACAGAGGGACAAAAGCGCGAGAAGCATGCTGTATGGGTGTCGTTGAATTACAAACACCGCGCCAACGCGCACTGCCGACGGGGCAGGCACCAGGCGGTATTGTTGTTGCGGCGCGCCAGCGGCGCAGCACTGCGGGGAAGGTGCGGCTTCAAGCGCCGTCAGAGCGGAGTTTGGCTGCCGAGTGGATCGTTGCTGGTGCGGTGGTGGCTGCTGCCAAACTCCTGCTGGTTGGGGCCTGGCGCGCCCTGCCGTTGCCTTCGGCAGGCGGCAGGCGGCTGCCTTGCTGGGCGGTTGATTGTTGATCAGTGTTGATCAAGGGCATGCGTATGCGCGGCTGCTGCCTGTGCGGCGGGACGCATCCTGTTTGGATATGCGCGTGGCCGTCACGCATGCCATGCTGTCTCAGCTGGCGGCGCGCATGCTTCGCAGCCGGTGCGCGCATGTGTGCGTCGTCCCGACTCACGCTCATCCTGCTGCTGGGGCTACTACTGCTGGCTCTGGCGCTGCCTCTCCTGCCCCTCCCCAAAGTACATGGGCGGCTGCGGGCCGCTGCCGGAGGGCATGCCGTAATGCGGCATGCCCATCATGCCCGGCGCCTGCCCCGCCCCTGGCGGACCCATCATCATCGGAACGCTGCAAAAAAATGGCGGCGGCGGCCCGCGGGGGCCTGGCGGCGGCGGCATCATGCCGGGCCCATTGCGGGTGAGGCGGTGCGGGTGGTGGGCGGGGTGGTGGTGCGGCGGCGGGTGGCTGCCCGGATGGAATGAGGCGGGGTCAGGCATCCAAAACCCGGGGCCGGGCGGGCCGTCGGGGAACGGCGGCGGCGGCATGCCCCACGGCGGCGGCACCTGCGCGCCGCCGGGG